GAATGAAATGCGTGAACCATTTGAATTGTTAGCTTTGTATGGCTGTATGTTGACAGTTTCAGTCTAACCTTTCAAATATCAATGCATCTCGTACATAAAAGTATTATATAATAAAAACCCTAATATTTAGATCGCAAACAACTAGGTTTTGGGAAACTTCATCCTTAATTTTTATATATTTTGTTTACGGACGCGCATGTGAACCGACGACTCTGTAATATACGACAGAAAAGCAACGACGCTTTCATATGGGTAATATATTTATGTTGTTGCATCGGAGCCGTAAGCCAGCAATTTTAAAAAGTCAACAAGCGGAAATTAAGGTTAAGTTATTATTGGCTGAAAGAATACTAAATTTTATGAACCATGGAAAATACCTGGATCATTCTTATGGGAATTGGGGTAGTCATTCACTGTTTGATATGTGCATAAATCTTTATTTTTGTATTTCTAATGAGTTAATTCAACATATAAACTATGAACTGAAAATAAATAGTGAATTTATTTGGGAATTGTTATTAGCACTCTAAAAATTTCATTCTACACTCCAAACTTTCTAAATTAGGAAAAAAAAATACACTTGTGAGGAGTGTAGAATGAGAATTTTGGAGTGCCAATAACACTTCCCTTTTTTTTTTATAAATTTCTGCATAATGTTCTTATTTTACAAACTTTTAGTAAAAACTGGAACTCGAAGAACAGTAAGACGTTAGTAAAGGTCATCAGTTTTTTGGGAACTTCATTTTTATTAATTAGGAGCATACGAGTTTTTTTTTTTTTTTTTTTCAGTCAATGGTTTATTATTATTATTATTACTAACTATAACATAAGACAGAAGCAATGATGTGCTGTTATCTGATTAAAAAAACAATTAGGTTGGCGAGTCCACATCCATGCTGTTCCATCGGATGCGGTAAGCCAACAATTAAAAAACTCAACGAGTGGAGATAAGGTTAAGCTATTATTGGCTGAAAGGATACTATTTTATGAATAAGAAAAATACTTGAAATGTAATGCTACAGAGAGAATTCTTGAACCACATTTTGTAAAATACTTTTGAAATGAAGTTGCGCGAAAATTATACTCCTTCAATTTGATCACATTCACATTGAAAGGCACGTAGTAGGTAGGAAGAAAAGCATGAGGATTGATATAACAATAGAGAGCCATTGTCCATACCATACTGCATATTCCAATTCTTTGAGTGGCTCTTTTCTTTAGCTTATTTGGCTTTAATTCTCCTATGGCCAATCAGGGATTTTTTCGAACTCAGGGAGAGCATATTGAAGTATACTCTCATGACCATAATGTACTCTCTTTTTGAGTATTTATCAAATCTAGCTAAAATTTGGCCCTTAATTTCAAAAATATCAATTTTTATAAAAAATATCATATATAGCCAAAAATGAACTTCAAAAAACTTAAATGCCCTCATCTTGTATGAGCTCCTAGAATTTTTCTCTCCATACCCAGTTATGCAGATGTGGTTTTTTCTATTCTTTCATTTTTTTTTTTTTTCATGTTCATTTTCATTTTTAGGGTTTTGATTATTTCCATATATCTCAATCCAATAAGTAGAAAGAACTAAAAGAGATCGAGCAATCAACTTGTCTAATTCATTTATTAATTGACAACACCTACAACTATATATTCTTGCATAATAATCAATTGATATTCTCTGAAAATTTCATAGACCTGCAACCTCCGCATATTTCATAGACCTGAAAATTTCATGTCTTCTTTTGGATGGAAATCTCTATTATACGATTCTACAGTATTATGCATACATAATATTAATTTGGGGAACACACACTTTTGCATCAATCTAATTGTTGTTTGATTGCTCCCTATAAATTCTAATAAATCAATTTCTACTACAATTTTTATACTTATAATGTGTTCTGGTTTCACAATGGTGCAGTTGACATACGTTCATGGTGTTCGGCTTGTTCGACCAAGCATGCAACATCCCCGCGTGCCACTCCCCTCCTCATGAACAACGATGAATAAAATTTAAAAGACGGTTGGCTTTTAGTTTTAGTTGTAATTAGGTTTTAACTTTGAGCCTAATTAGATATATTTAAGTAGAATTTTGGATACATTTGAAATTCTTTAGAAAAACTGATATTTATGAATTTAAAGGCTAAATTTTGGTTATTAATGATAAAAACTCTCTTTTTTCTACGATTATGAGCACTTTTTTTCCATTAGGTTTTTGGTAACCTAATGAGGTTTTGATGAGACACATGGGCTAGTCATACCTTTGTGAGCTTTAAAGATCCTTATGAATATGTGAATCATCGACATCCTACATTAACTCACTTTTTCTCCTTAAGTCTACTGGATTATTGTAGCAAGGTTTTTGTGAGATATTCATATATACGCCCCTACTATGAAACTTGTGTTAGCAATTATTATATCTGCCAAGAATTGACGAGAACAACTACCATCCTATAATCATGAAAGACATGATGTCGCTACTTGTTAAGTTGTATACACTAAAGGGCGAGTGCTGTGAACATAATTATTAATTAGGAATGTGATTGTATAAACTTGAAGTAGAATCCAATTATATGACGATCAAATTCTCATAGATTTGTATTACTTGCAAGGCAAGAAAACTCATTATGATTACTATAAATAAAGATACAAGGACAAAGAATGAGGACACAAATTTTAATTTAGTGAAAAAGTTTAACCCACAAATGCTATCATTGGTCAAAAAAAAATTTAGCTAAAATTCTACAACACACTTGTTTATGTGATGCATGAAACATTTGAATTGTTAGATTTGTATCTTCACAGTTTCAGTTTAACTTTTCAAATAAGTATTATAATAAAAAGTAAAAACCCCTAATTTTTAGATCGCAGACAACTAGATTATATACTTTGTTTACGGAGGCGCATGTGAACGGAAGACTGTAATATACGACAGAGAAGCAACGACGCTTTCATATGGTTAATATATTTATGTTGTTGCATCGGAGCAGTAAGCAATTAAAAAAAGTCAACAAGTGGAAATTAAGGTTAAGTTATTATTGGCTGAAAGAATACTAAATTTTATGAACCAAGGAAAATACTAAATTATTAAGTTATTATTGGGAGTAGTCATTCACAGTTCGATGGGTGCATAAATCTTTATTTTTGTGTTTTTAATGAGTTAATTCAACATATAAACTTTGAAGTAAAAATAAATAGTGCATTTCTTCTTTATGAATTTCAGCATAATGTTCTTATTTTACAAACTTTTAATAAAAATGGAACCTGAAGAACAATAAGACGTTAAGAAAGGATTAATCATGGTTATCAAGTTTAATGGGTTAAATTGCCATCTCTAAATATATCTCATACATTAGTTTTATGGGGAGCATGCGAGTTTTTTTTTTTTTGGTCAATGGTTTATTATTATTATTACAAACTATAATATAAGACAGAAGCAATGATGTGTAGTTATCTGATTAAAAGAACGAATAAGTTGGTGAGTCCACATCCATGCTGATCCATCGGATGCCGTAAGCCAACAATTAAAAAAGTTAACGAGTGGAAATTAAGGTTAAGCTATTATTGACTGAATGGATACTATTTTAAGAACAAGGAAAATACTTGAAATGTAATGCGAAAGAAACTATCTTCTTAAATCACATTCTGCAAATTCATTTTTTTGAAATGAAGTTGCCACAATGAAAGGTGATAAGTAGGAAAATGCTTGGCAGAAATCACTTTTGAAATTAAGCTACCACAAAAGTTCCTCTTCTATAACTTGACTACATTACATGGTAGGAAGAAAAGCATGAGGATTGATATAACAATATAGAGCCATTGTCCATACAATACTGCATATTCCACTTCTGTGAGTGACTCTTTCCTTTAGCTTATCTGGCTTTAATTCTCCTATGGCAAATCAAGGGAGTTTTACGAACTCAGAGGGAGTATTCTAAAGTATATTCTAATGACTTTAATGTACCATTTTTCCTACGATTAGGAGCAATTTTTTTATTGGGCTTTTGGTAACCTGATGATGTTTTGATGAGACACTTGGGTTAGTCATACCTTTGTGAGCTTTATTGATCCTCCTGAAAATGTGAAACATCAACATCCTGCATTAACTCACTTTTTTCTCCTTCAGTCCAATGGATTACCGTAGCAAGGTTTTTGTGAGATTTTCTTTTTCATAGGCGCCCCTTACAATGAGACTCTTTTTTTTTTTTTTTTTTTTTGGAGAACCTCGACGGTACGAGAGAAATTTACTATGAGACTCGATTTAGCAATTATTATATCTACCGAGAACTGACGACACAACTCCATTCCCTAATCAAGAAAAACCCGATGCGACTACTTCTTAAGTTGTACATGCTCAAAGGCGATTGTTGTGAACAAAATTACTAATTAGGAATGTGATTGTATAAACTTAAAGTAAAATCCGATTATGATTTGACAATCAAATCCTCATAGGTTTGTATTAATTGTAAGGTAAGTAAACACATCATGATTAGTATAAGTAAAGATACAAAACCTAAGGGTGAGGACACAATTCTAATTTAGTAAAAAAAAATCAACCCCGTAACACTATCGTTTGTCTAAAAAAAATAGCAAAAATTCTACAATACACTTGTGTATAAAATGCATGAAACATTTGAATTGTTAGATTCGTATGGCTAGATCTTGACAGTTTCAATCTAACGTCTCAAATACTGATGCATCTCATACGTCGAAGTATTATAGTAAATGCCCTAATTTTTAGATCGCAAACAACTAGGCCTTGGGAAACTTCATTCTTAAATTTTTTTATTATATATTTTGTTTACGGACGCACATGCGAGGTTTTTTTTTTTATTAGTGTTACCTATGTGAAGTGAAGACTAACTTTAATATAAGACAGAGAAGCAACGGCGCTTTCATTGTGTAATATATATATATATATATATATATATATATATATATATATATATGTTGTTGCATCGCATGCCGTAGGCCAGCAATTAAAATACTCAATAAGCGAAAATGAAGTTGTCGGGGAAAGTTCCTCTCCTTCAACTTGACCACATTCACATTGGAAGGTAGTAGGTAGGAAGAAAAGCATGGGGATTGATATAACAAGAGTCCATTGTCATACCATATTGCACATTCCAATTCTTTGAGAGGCTCTTTTCTTTAGGTTACCATGCTTTAATTCTTCTATGGCCAATCAACTGGTCGCTTCTTCTTCCTTCCCTCCTTCATGGAAATATGATGTGTTTTTGAGTTTTAGAGGAGAAGATACACGCACTAATTTTACAGATCATTTATACAATGCTTTGGTTAATAAGAGAATCAAGACCTTCATTGATCGTGAACTTAGAAGAGGAGAAGAAATAGCACCAGCACTCCTCAAAGCAATTGAAGAATCAAGAATTTCTCTTGTCATATTCTCTCAAACCTATGCATCTTCATCGTGGTGCTTGGAAGAGCTCGTTAGGATTCTTCAATGTAAAGATTCAAAGCAACAAATAGTTTTGCCAGTCTTTTACAAGGTGGAACCGTCCCATGTGCGAAAGCAAGAGAGTAGTTTCGGTAAAGCGTTTACAGAACTTGTGAGCAAATCCGGCAACAACAACGAGAAGGTGCCTGTGTGGAAGAGTGCTCTTACAGAAGTAGCAAATTTGTCAGGATTTCCTGTCAAGGAGGGAGAGTACGTACATTTCTTCCGCTTACCGCGTATTTATGTAGTTAATTTCCAACAATAATGTCATCAATGTAGTTTTGTGTTTCATTTTTACTCTTTATATCTTTAGCAAGTGACACATACTGGACTTTATTAGTAAGTACTAGTGCATTTTGGATAAGAAACAGAGAAAAAATTTCAAGTACACTTTTTGTTAATATCGTATAATATATCTCTATGTTTGTAATATTTCCCTCTGTTTGTTTTTACATCTCTGAAATACAGCAAAAAAGATCGTTCACTGATTAAATGTGTTATTTGTTTTGAACTGCTAGCTACGAAACTACAATTATCAACGACATTGTTAATGATATCTTAGTTCGAGTACCTGATGGCACATATGTGAAAGGTTCTCATCAGCGTAAGAAAAGTATAGATCGTTTGCAAACTACTTTGGATAGTTACGATTCTTATAAAGGAGAACCTTTCAGAGATATTCAAAGAGTACTTCAAAAAAGTTATGATGCCTGGGATGATGTCGTGCAACAAGTTAGTTTGGATATGTCACACAAGGGCATGAGACAATTGAAGGGGTTTAAGGTACATACTTTAAATTATTTGAACCATTATTTATCTACACATATTTTTTATTTCCAAAAAAAAAAAAAAACTATTCAAGTGTTTCATTATGTTCTTTTTAAAGCGTGTGATTGTTTTGTTTTGATTTTGGTTTCACAGAATTCGGCAGAGTTTACATCTATGAATTTCAGAGGCTGCGAATTCTTACAAAAAATTCCCGACTTATCTGGAAGCCCAAATCTAAAGCACTTGGTTCTAAGTGATTGTAAAAGTTTGGTTGACGTGGATGATTCTATTGGATACCTTGATAAACTTGTTTACTTGAATCTTAATGGGTGCTCTAAGCTGAAGAGGTTTGTAACAAGACTTGGATTGAGATCCCTTGAATGCCTTTATCTAAAAGGTTGCACAAGGCTCGAGAGTTTCCCAGAAATAGAAGAGGGCAAGATGGAATCTCTAACGGATTTGGATATACGACAAAGTGGCATAAGAGAATTACCTTCATCAATTGCATATCTTACTGGGCTTCAAAGATTGAAAGCAAATGAATGTGAGAACCTTACAGGTACATCATTACATCATATATATGGGTTGCAAGATCTGATTCAAGCTCATTTCGGTAAGTGCCCAAAACTCGTGACATTTGGGAATCATGAGGTGCAGTTTGATGAAGTTTCATCTTGCAACTCTATCACATTAGCCCTTCCCAACCTATTTGATCTTGATTTGGGAGGATGCAATTTATCAAAAAGTGATTTCCTTGTGCCTCTTGGTTGCTGGTTCGCATTAGCAAGCCTTGATCTGTCGAGAAACAATTTTGTTAGTCTTCCGGATTGCATTAACAAATTTGTCAACTTAGTGAAACTTAGATTGAGTGGTTGCAGGAGGCTTCGAAAAATTCCACAAGTTCTTCCACCAAGCCTATGTGACTTATATCTGGATGATTGCGCATCATTGGAGAAAATTCCAAAATTGCCCCCGATGCTTGAGCGTCTGGAGTTGACTAATTGCATTAAACTAAGTGGAGATGAAGTGGCAAAGTTGAAAAAAAATTGGTTGAACGAGGTTGCTCTCTCTTCTTCTTAATTTTTCTTGAAATGAAAATTCATTTTGTTAATACTTGAGATAGCATTCGGATCACAACTGTTAGTAATTAGTTATCTATACTTTATTTAATTGCAGGAATCTTTTCAGCGCGCTGAATTGCAAGTTATTCTGCCAGACACTGAAGTTCAAAAGTGGCCCAGCTATACCCCTTGACCATCTTACAGCCACTGAACATCTATCAGAAAATGAATTTCGTTTTGAAAGTCCTCTACATTTTCAAGGGGAAACGTTATTTGAATTGGCTCTATCTGTTGTTCTTGGAGCACGAACTAATTATTTTGATAATCTTTATATTCTCATCAAGGGAATACAAAAGCTTGTACCTTATTCATGGGATGAGATGAAAATCGTGGCAACTCGTGTGACTCGAGTCAGTGGATTTAGACGATCACGAGCAGCATGGAGATATTTGTCAAGTTATATTTCCTTTCCCCAACTCTGCACGCATTAAAGTTAGGCATTAACTTCTTATTCTACTGTCTTGCGTTTGTCCTCCTATTTTCTTGATATGTTGGTGCAGCCTTTTTCATAGACGGCTTTTCTGTTTGATAACTTGTCCATGTTCTACTATCAAATCTTTGCATTTCCGTACGTGTGGTAAATTGTCGCAGTAAATTGTATGTATTATGTTAGGGACGACACCGTTACCTAAATGTGTTGCGTATGACTTTGGGATATATTGTGCTGTTTAGTGAAAGAGATTAGAATTAGTTTTGCTTTGTTCTTACCGGATAAGTCGCGTGCATTTTAATTTTTTGATTGTTCATTGTTACAGGTCGCTAATTAAATTTTTTTAGGCAATATTCAATGGGGAGGGTTAAAGGTCCAAAAGCCAAAAGATGGTCTGATTTGTCTAAAAATATATCTTCAGTGAATGACTGAGTTACAATTATTTGGAACTCATTAGACCATTATTTAGCCAAAATGGCATCAGGCTAGCCAAGTGTAGTCTCCTTCTTAGTCTTTTTTCAAGGCCAAACTCTTCTACTGCAATAATTGGTTTGAATTTAATGATTAGGATTGAAAATATCTAACGGTAGCCTATTTAAATTAACCAATAAATTTAAAGTATAAACTTTTTTTTAATACATACTATATTATCTACACAAAGGAGTGGGGGAGTAGGATAGTCATAGTAATATGGTTCGAAGACCTCTCACTTACAAGTTTAAATTAAAACTAGAGAAGGCTATATTTAGCCCTTCAGTTGGAAATTATATATGAGTATAGCCTAATACTATTAATTTAAAATTAATTTCTTGCATGACTATAATTTTGAACGAAGCTATATTTAACCCTTTCTGTTGAAGATAGCCTTATAATAACGTTTTGCTAAACCGACAGTTTAGAAATTCTCCAAATTAATATTGTAGAAACTTTCATTTTAGCCTTTAAAGAAAAAAACAATTTTCGACTAAAATCTTGTGTAAGATTTAAAATAATTTTAGTCTCTTAACTCAACGTACATGTTGTCATACATTCAATCACCTCGTATACTAATCATATTTTGATATTTTATTTCTCCTTTTCTTCCCAATTTTAATCTATTAATTATATTTAATCCTAATTTTTATTTCAATTCATAATATATTTTGTTATAGAAATTTAGATAAATTTTTTTTTTGTATAATATATTGTGATTTTTAATAAAATGTGCTTACATCGAAAGTACTTTTGCTAAAATGCTTAGGAACATGAGTGCTTACGCAAGCATTCTCAAACGAGGATCGAGTAACACTTGCTCTTGAGATTTAATTGTGAGGTTTTTCCTCTTAATTTTTTTTTTTCTTTTGAACAAATAATACTAAGGAACATAGGAGTGGCTAAGCCTCATAATGAGCTAGCAATAATATGGTTCAAATCTGTTTTTTATGAAAACCAAACCTAAGACCTCTCACTTACAAATAAAGATGAATTATTAGAGGACTTACAAGTGAAGATGAAATATTAGAGGAAAATCATTAATCTTGAATCTTTTAACAACAAAAGAGAAACTATTAGAGGAAAATCATTAATCTTTTTAATTACGACTTTGTGAAAATAATAAGATAAAGAGAATATTTAACCAAAAAAATCAGTATAACCTATAAAGTATTTGATTCCATTTGTGGCCGACTTTAAAGGTGATTTTGTGGTGAAATTGTAGCGGGTTTATTAGCATTCTAAGGAAAAGTACAAACATGCCATTTAGTACTAAGATTTAGTAATTTAGTAGTATTTCTCTTCACTTGCAAGTGAGAAGTCTTATGTTCGATTCTCACCGAAGGTGAATTTGAACCACTTTATCATGGTTTGCCCAATGTGAAGTTTAATCCATTCCCCCACCTCCTTAGTGTAGATACTACCGGTACAAACCTCAAATAGGGCATTTTAGATTAAGTCTAAATGATCCTCAAACAAAGAGGACTCCAAAACAAAAAAAAAAAAAAAATCAAGGTCAACTTAGCCAATCTAATAGCCATTATATCGAATGATCTTTGGGTATGAAAAGCATGAGAGCACATCCAGCGGTCTAAAGCTAAAAGGACTTTTGTCTCAGCAACTTCATAAGCTACCTCATGCAAGATTTTGGGCACAAAATTATGAACAAAACCGGTAATGGAACACTCTTTGCATACATACATCGCCGACTTAAAGAGGCACTGCCAAAAAAAAAACCAAAAAAAAAAAAGAAAAGGTTACAGCTACAATAGGGACTGTGCACAAAATCACCAATGACTACCGATTGTATCAAGACAAACTGCACCAACGCCACTATACGACCTGTCCCAAATTCCTGTAATTTTGTCCTCATTAATGTTAAATTTATCGAAATGTCCCTAAAAAGGTACATTGTCACATCCCGGCCCGGGGCGCACCACTTCCCGAGCCCGCTCCACCACCGTAGCACGATATTGTCCGCTTTGGGCTGGTCACATCCCGGCCCGGGGCGCACCACTTCCCGGGCCCGCTCCACCACCGTAGCACGATATTGTCCGCTTTGGGCTTACCATTCCCTCACGGTTTTGTTTTTGGGAACTCACGAGCAACTTCCCAGTAGGTCACCCATCATGGGATTGCTCTAGCCCCCTTCTCGCTTAACTTCGGAGTTCATACGGAACCCGAAGCCAGTGAGCTCCCAAAAGGCCTCGTGCTAGGTAGGGATGGGAATATACATATAAGGATCACTCCCTTGAGCGATGTGGGATGTCACAATCCACCCCCCTTAGGGGCCCGACGTCCTCGTCGGCACACCACGACCGGGGTTAGGCTCTGATACCAAATTGTCACATCCCGGCCCGGGGCGCACCACTTCCCGAGCCCGCTCCACCACCGTAGCACGATATTGTCCGCTTTGGGCTTACCATTCCCTCACGGTTTTGTTTTTGGGAACTCACGAGCAACTTCCCAGTGGGTCACCCATCATGGGATTGCTCTAGCCCCCTTCTCGCTTAACTTCGGAGTTCCTACGGAACCCGAAGCCAGTGAGCTCCCAAAAGGCCTCGTGCTAGGTAGGGATGGGAATATACATATAAGGATCACTCCCTTGAGCGATGTGGGATGTCACATACATGCATCAGGTTAATACTATTAGAGCAACTCCAGCATATCAACCCCCTTAGGGCAACTTCCTATTGAATAGTCTCTAGTGAACAGTAATTGTCTTTAATGAACAATAATTGTCTTTTGCATCTTCACCTCTAAACTGAATAGTCATAGCAATGTGCAATAAAATATTAGTATTTTTTTATTTTAAAAAATAATTTTATTTCAAATTTCAGATATGATTTTTAATCGGTTTCGTTGTACCACGTTTCATTAAATAGGAAATTACAACCCAAAATATTTGAGAAAATATAAAATTGTGGTGTAAGGAGGAAGATAATGATAAGAGATTTATAGAAAAAAATTTAATCTTTTTTTTTTTAATTTTAAAATTATTTTGGATTTTTTATTAATTGTTTACATTTTTTTAATTTGTATTAATTTTTTACATTTTTTATTAATTTTTTATTGCTTTTTTACATTTTTTTTATTAATTTTATAATGTGGCTGACGTCAACCATGCATCATATGGCCTTAGACTCTCGGGGCACCAATTCGAGCTGAGCCTCTCACTCAGACCCCCTACCCAATCACTCGCATGGGCTAAAGAAGATAGCTGGGGCTATTGGGTCATCAAAGTTGCCAGTCCATCGGGCTCCACCTCCCGCTGGAGTTGCTCTTACATAGACTTAGGGCTCCGATGCTTTCCAACACGTAGTTTCCGTTTGTTGAATCAACTACTTCAACCATTAATTTTTGGACACCTCATAGCATCTTATGAACGTTCAAGGGTAGGAAAACAATTTTAAAGTGCTGGATGCTTCAAGAAGATTTTTAATGAAATGTGGTTATATCGAAAGTGCTTAGGAACACAGGTGCTTTTTTTTTTTTTTTTTTTTTAGGAAAACAGGAACACAGGTGTTTACACAAGCAAATTCGAATAGGGTTTGAGTGAACACTTGCGCTTGAAATTTGGTTGTGGGGTATTTGAGCTAACTACTTTTTTTAATGTTAATTGCATAGAGGGTTACAAAATAACTAATTTTTTCTTAGAGACACACACCAAAAAGCTTGTATAATAGAGGGCAAGTCCGGCCCAGAGGATAGTTGAATAGGCGCCCGCCTAGAGCTCTTAATTTTTTTTTTTTTTTTTTTAAGTCTATATATGTGTGTGTGTGTGTGTGTATTTACATATATAATTTCACAATTAATAAAATATCAAAAATAAAATTTTAGGCAATAATATAATTTTATAATTATTTTTTTTTTCACATTTTCTTCTTTTTTGTCACCCATATGTAACTCTAGTATTTCTTTATCTATCAAATGCAGTCCTTATAATCCAATCATTCATTCATTTACTGAATGTAATAAGTAACTTTGTAACAATAAAAAGATATTGGAATTTGGTATACTATGACACACCCCGATCCGGATTTTAGTAGGCACCAAAATTGAGGCGTGTTGACCATCACCCGGATGGATGACGAAGGCATGATTGGAGCATTCTCATCATCTGATCCATGCTCTCTCCTCATTTTATCTCTCATCCCCCAGTTACTTTGAGCTGAGCTCACCACCCTAATTTCTCAATTTCCTCATTTTATCTTCTTCTTCTTCTTCTTCTTCTTCTTCTTCTTCTGATACCATGAAGAAAGTTGTCTTCTTCTTCTTCTTCTTCATCTCGCTTTGATACCATGAAGAAAGTTGTCTTCTTCTTCTTCTTCTTCTTCTTCTTCTTCTTCTTTTTCTTCTTTTCTTCATCTCACTTTGATACCATGAAGAACATTGAGATTCCACATAAAACCAATTGTTAATATGGGAAGTAGCTCAACTTACTTATAAACCCTTGCAAGGTTTCTCCTTTCATCAATGTGTGACTCTTTTACCTTCACATTCTCACATGCCCCCTCACGTGTGGCGAGTTTTCAAGCAAAACACATGGACGACACGAATTGGGTGACATGGAGCACGTGAGGACTACACGAACTCTCTCTGATAAGCCTCTCTCTCTCCTCTCC